GGGTGGGGGGGGGGGGGGGGGGTGTAGTGCTAGGAGGCTTGATGACTTTATTCATTTGTGTTAGAGGCTAGAGAGTACCTTTTTTGTTTTTCAATATGACTTTGTGGTGTTCTGTCACTTTTTTACCAACATTAATTTTTCCTGTCATATGCTGATAAAATTAAGGCTTGCCTAAATTACAGATATTCATGCATTTTAATATAACTATTACTATATGCACATATACTTATCATGCATTTCTTTGTTTACCGGCACAATAGTCATTCAATTGTCATTCAAGCCAATGAACATCAATTTCAATGACCTTCCTTGATCCACGGATCTTGACCTCAATGTTTTAAAATATTACTTCATTTCAAATCCATGATTTTGGATTCCCATAATACTGTATTGCTAGTAAACTGAAAACAATTTTATTCCATATGTGATATGGGGCCATTCCCAAAATACATAATGCTTGTGGGGATAGAGGGATGTTTGATCAGGAGTCGCAGAGTGTCACAAGGGGGGGGGGGGGATCACATGAGGGGAAAATTTATCCCTGTCTAAAAAAACAAGACCTTGCTTGCAAATATGTTGCCCTTAGAAGACAAATCAATGTTTTCTATCAAAATATATTGCCTGAGTGGGAAAGAACCTGAATGGAAAGGCCGAGGTTAAGGCATTGAAACAGTGTCTTAGTACATACAGTACATTATTTTTTTGAATAATTTATTGGGGTAAATAAACGTCTTGTTTACAAATCAACTGCACAAATGATCGGCATCCCCAGGGGTTGGTCACCAGGAGGGGGGATTTGTTACTTTTTGTACAAAAATAATATCCCTCCAGGTAGGGAAATTGTTTGCATTTGGCCAGGGAGCATTTGTAATTTACCTAGAGGGGGGGGGGGCAAAGGTGATTTTTGAGACGGGTCACAATTTAGGGAACTATAAAAAATTACCTGAATATTAGGCAGGGAACCTTCAACAAAAACTTTCCCTTAGTTTTCATTTTTGTTGCCATGCAAAGTTGCAAATCTTTCATATTCTAAGGCTTTATGACTGAAGTTGTTATTAATAGATATGAAAGTTCAATGGTCAAGAATATTTGACATTATAATGCATGTCAGAATAGTATTATTCATATTGATAAGAAACCAATACTAATTAAAGGTCAATAGATTTTGGGAAGGGGGAGACAGGGAGTCGACAATTCACCATCTGTTGTTTACAATCATATTGGGGGGGGGGCAATGAATGTGATCAGCAAAAGTGGAGGGGGGGCTCCAGAAAATTTAAACCTAAAAACCGTCATAGCCCTCCCCCTCCTGTAAGTAAATTATAAATGCCCCTAACAGGCACAGTTTATCCCCAGGATAAACCAAAAGGATATCAACATTCACATAGTAGTGGCTATTTAATTGTTCACCTTTCCGCCATACAGTATTTTCTATAGAATTAACCAATTGTATTTTATGATATAATGTTTCTGTTAGATATGTTATGTTTCCATATTAATATTGCCTTGACAATGGGATAGGTACTGTAATATGATTTTTGTCATTACACTTTACCCTGTACCAAAGGGCTTTGTCAATATTTTGTTCTGTCAACCTCATGGGAAGCAGAGGAAAGTGAATAAGTGCAAAGGAGCATAATATAGATATTTACACTTTCCATTAATGGCACCTTTCCAACAACAAAAATATGAACAAAATATATAGAATAAACATTTAACAATTTGAATACTAACTAGTAACTACAGTTCATACAAATATGAGAGTCAACTTCTGTGAAAATATAAACAACCACGCGATATTGACCAAGTTTATACAAGTCCAGTAAATTTATGTATTTCTATTATAAACAGTTACTCCCTCCTACCTTCCTTCATTTGTTCATTAAGAGCAATGAAGTTCATAGTTATAACACAAAAAATGCGAAGATGTACCGAACACATTCATGTAAACAAAACAACACACAATTCTTTTCAATGGCCCTAAACTGTGGAATTCGCTTCCAGAAAATATAAAACAGGCAGAAACTTTTGGTTGCTTCCGGAATGGAATGAAAAAACATTTACTCGATGAATAGCAATGATATTGAAATTGTCGTTATATACTGTCGTTATTGCGTTTTAATATTTGATAATGCATGGGTGAACACCAAAGCTAGTGATTTGACGAATAGTAATGATATCGAAATTGTCGTTGTCGTTATTATACGTTATTATTTTTTAATATTAATATTTGATACTGCAGTGTGAATACTGACCAGAGGAGGCATCCACTTTACAAGCCTAGTGGTTTCTGGATTCTGGATGTCTCCTTGCCATTAATATTTTCTAAAATTGCATTAGATCTAAATATCATATATGTATTTTTTTTTTCTTTTTCTTTGTAATTATCATATTTGTGGCATTAAATAATTATTATTACAGAAGTCCACATAATTTGATTCTTTCGATTGATTTTACACGAGCGACACTGGTCGAATAGCAGCTGATCCAATCACAGATCCAATTTAATAAATATATACGCGGAATATCATATTATACGTACATTTTGCATAAGAATTCCTTTAAAAAATTCGACAATATACAGTATTTGAGGTCAAAATACCAAGTCCAAAATCACGAACAAATATACACCAAACTGTTCAGTGTTGACTCTTTAGAACTTGCATATCACACTTTCCCAACATTACATAAGGCAATAGCACCTGTAATTTTCCATCAAAATGCTTCTTTAGTACAATTTTTACTGTAAAATACTCACAAATTTATATGAAAAATTTAACAAAAAATTATCGAAGTAAACTAGAGCCCACTCCCAACGCGAAGGACAAATCAGGACAGCTTGCGAATTTTGCTAGGCCTTCTCGCTTCTCGCCTCTCCCCAGTCTCCAAATAAATACAGCTTTATCCCGGTCAACCTGCAAACCTTGTCGATTTCCCCCTAAAATAATGAGGCGGAAGTGAGAAGGCCAGGAACTAGGCTGGGCCTTTCCAAGGTTTGTACCGCCATATTGCAGGGGGTGCAAAAACATTGGGGCGAGCGCGTGGCCACCAATGGCGCCCATACTATTTCCTATTGAGTGAGTGAAAATTACCTTTTGACATTTTGTCCTTTTTCTAAAAGAATTCTATACAAGCATATCCAATTTTTATTTTTGGATAATCGCTGGTTTTTTCTGATATGCGGCCGAGATTTCTTGCCAATCGCAGGACAGGAACTAATAAAAAACGACGGCTTTTATTGTACAACTTGACCGATGTTTGAGCGATGATTTTTGTACAAATATACAAATATAAACAGTAATAATGGCGGACACCAAAGGACTTACACACTTAATGGACAAATATTCTTCCAAAGATCGGTTAAACAAACGAAATAACAAGAATCATCGCTCAAACGTCGGTCAAGTTGCGCAACAAAAGCCGCCGTTTTTTATTACTTCTTGTCCTTCGATTAGCAAGAAATCTCGGCCACATATCAGAAAAAACCCAGCGATTATCTAAAAATAAAAATTGGATATGCTTGTATAGAAATTTTTTGAGAAAAAGGACTAAATGTCAAAAGGTAATTTTCACTCACTCAATAGGAAATAGTATGGGCGCCATTGGTGGCCGCGCGCTCGCCCCAATGTTTTTGCACCCCTGCAATATGGCGGTAGAAACCTTGGAAAGGTCTATTCGAACACAGTGGACACACTGTCACTGGCATTGAATGACTATCCTTGAAGCCAAACTGTACAGTCAAACAATTTCTTTCGAGTGCAAAACCAAAGAATAATGATGAAAGACATATATTTACATAATCAAGCTTCATTCAGTGTAGTGTAAGGTGGTTTTATTTGTTAATATCAACAATTAGGTTTACCGATAAAGTATGCTCGATTTCGACACATTTTCAAATTTTACAAAGTTTGCGCGCTTGTCATTTTTGTCAAATGGTAGATCAGAAAGATATTATTGGCGATTTGTGTTGACTAATGTTAGTAGTTTATAGAAAAATTAAAGTCATGTGCCAATCAAGTGCCACGATTTTGAAATAAGCTTTCGAAGTTGATATATTTTGAGATGATATCCGTTATCTGTTCAGGAGGGTCAATAACTGCGCTGTTTTCTATTTTATACCAAAGAATAATTATCTAAGTCATATCACCAATGAAAATAGAAGGATAAGTCTATATTTCTGAGCAAAAATTTTGAAATTTAGGTATGAATTTGATTTAAAAAATAGCGCTGAAAATATGTCGATATTTTGCCTTCATTCGGAGTTCAAGTTGGTTACCAGCCGATCGAACATCAATCGCCCCCAAAAATAATTTAAAGGAAATTTGAGTAAAATGAAATCGATTTTAGTTGTTCCCAAGGATAGATCTTCAAAATACTAGAGTATGAGAGAAATCTATTTTTGAGCCCCATATTGACCTGGAGGTTTTTACGGAGACAGCCTCTTAATAACTTTTGGAACTTCTACACACATTATTTTTAGTCATATTATTTTAAACATTTTAGGAAGTAGACTCGCCTAGATTTAATCTTTACGCCGCAAATACTATTCCTCTTGGCAGCCAACATTAACGCGCCTTAATTATCTTGACACTAATCTTAATTGCTTTTCCGCCTCGCCTCTACTAACTCGCGTATAAAATAACTTGTAAATATTCTTAGTAAGACAGTCTTAGCTTTGCGCTCTAGCGAGTAATCGTGCTGAACTCATCACTAGATATTAAATGACGACTCCACAATTGTGAAGTAAAATAAATGTATCAACAAAGTATCTATTAGAGTTCTACGTATTTTCACAAACACTATAACGAATCAATACTCGCGGTAAACAGGGATATTCGTGCGACATTTGAAAATGTTAACGTGATTCCCGAACCGGATGAGATAACAATTATCCCCGAGCCGACGGCGGGAAGCGCCGTGCGAGGGTACTAATTTCCCCCGGCTATTTACACCCGGGGAAACGAAAGCATTAGCGAAGTCTAAAGTTCATCAAATATCGCGGGCGTGGCTCACCAACGATGTTTCGGTGGGTGATCATCCTCACTGATCTCAAAAATATGGCGGACACTGATTGGTCCAATTTAAAGTTTGCATTATAACGACTGCATGACGACAGCGAAATAGCAAACATTTCTTGATTTAATGATTTGATGATTGATAAATTTCTTGCAAATATATTTCATTTATGCTCGCATTTTTGCAAGATTTTGTAAAAGGGAGCCGACGTTAACGAAGATAAGTTTGTTTTAAAATTATCGTGTTACCATGACAACTACTTTAGATACTTCATGTTCGGAAAATACAATGGTTTTGTCAGCAAGGCGAGGGTTTCTGCATGCATGTATTTTCTAGTAGGAAGTTTAAGCAAAGCCAATCTCACCCATGTAATGTCAAGCAACTGTCATATTAAATAATATGAAATGCTTCGCGAGTGCCATTAATTTCATAGAATCAAACTACAAATGTTATGCCGTGAACCTCTCCATTCTGTTCCTTTCACAAAATAGCACTAATTATAAGCCGGTATGTTACAGACGAGCAAGTTTTCGATGGCAAGTTTTCATATGACCATGTTTATTTGTTTTTCGTCTGTATACCCAACTTTACATATTTTTTCTACGACCCTGAAGCACACTTGTTGAAATGCTAGCTCATAATTAATCATAATTAAACAAGTGCACTTGTTCAACAAAGAAAATTTGGCAACGTAATTTGAGCACTTGCATCTGGTAACAGCGATATGTATCTAATAATTATATAACTATCGTAGCGATCAAAAAACCAAACTTGCACTTGTCATGGAAAATTTGTTGTACGTATACACGTGCAAATGACAAAGAAAACTTACTAGGCCTATATGAAAACTTGTCATAGAAAACTTGCTTGTCTGCAACCAGCTTTTACATTCACCAATTTCAATAAATAAATATTGTTGCTGAGATGCCGGATTTCCATCGAAGTGACCGAAAAATGATAAAATTAAACATGCCCCATCCATATTTG